GTTGGTTTAATGTTAGTTTAAGGCTACACAAGTGTTCACTTCTTCTTTAAATGACAATAATACAGCGTTGTGTCCTCAGAAGTACAGTTAACTGTATATTTAAGGTTAGTTTAATGTTTTTTTAAGGTTATAGGAACGTTTGCATCCCTTTTAAATTAGCATACATCAGCGTTGTGTCCTCAGAAGTGCAGTAAACTGTGTGTGGGATTTTTACCATATGTAGGTTTAGGTTGGTTTAATGTTGTTTTAGTGTTGTAGAAGGGTTTGTGTCCCTGTGTATTGACTCTAGTTCAGCGTGGTGTCCTCAGAAGTCCAGTAAACCCTCCTGGCAGCGCCTCTCTGACATAATGAATCTCCAGCAGAGACGGAGCTCGTTAGTTCTGGTTCTTCTCCCTCAGCGGTCCGACTCGGCCCACTTTGGCCCACTTTAGCCCACTTTGGCCCACTTTGGCCCGCTGCAGCGCTGGGTCCAGGTGGTGGAGGTCACAGCGTTCTGAACAGAAGAACGACGGCTCACGTGTTGAAGCGTTTCCTGTTCTTCTGTTTTTATTCATTACTTTGTGCAGAAACTAAACGGTTCTTTTAACGTTTTTCGACGGTTTATTTTACAGTGCTGCTCAATTACAGAAAATGGAAAAACAAATTAAAATACATTTTTAAAAAACTTTTACAGACTCTAGTTGCCACATTTCTACATTTTCTATCAAATGTTTCACCTGCAAACCTGAAAATCTCCGTTTATGGTGAAACGTTTTAGATTTAACGACACGTTGGAGAGAAACAAGAATCACATGAAAGGACTTCCTGATGGACTCTAGAATAATGTCCAAACAAACAAAACAAGACAACAACAACAAAAACAACAACAACAATAATAATAATAATAATAATAAAAACGAAAGCAGGTTAGTCTGATGTTGTGTGTCCTCCAGGTTGTGTGTCCTACAGGTTGTGTGTCCTACAGGTTGTGTGTCCTCAGGTTGTGTGTCCTCCAGGTTGTGTGTGGTCCAGGTTGTGTGTCCTCCAGGTTGTGTGTCCTCCAGGTTGTGTGTCCTCCAGGTTGTGTGTGGTCCAGGTTGTGTGTGGTCCAGGTTGTGTGTGGTCCAGGTTGTGTGTCCTCAGGTTGTGTGTCCTCCAGGTTGTGTGT